AATAACCGCCCATGTGCGGAACTTGAGGTGTCTGCTCAGGGTGCAGTACATACGGCTGAGGCTGAGGCTGATTCCGAATTCCGGCGCTGAGGATCCGTTCCATCTCTTCCAGCCGGGCCCTTGTTTCTTCATCTTTTTTGCGTTGCTCCTCCAAGGTGCGCTGCTGCTCAGCCAAGGCCCGCTGCTGCTCCTCCATCTCCCGCTGCATTTGAGCGATACGCGGATCCTCTCCGCGCCTTGATCGGGAAGATGAAGCACCGCTGCGGTCGTACAAGATCCGTTGCCCCTCAGCCCCCATGCACGGGACCCGGCCCTTGTACACCCCAACTGCCTCAAAGATGGCATCATCCTCCACATCAGAATCAATCTCATCCTCCTGAGTCAAGCCTAATTCTGCCCGCCTCTTCTCAACATTTGTGTTATACTTTGACTACATGTACAAAAATTGTTAATTTAATGTTACTCAATTTGATTTTGAATGGAAATAAGTAACAAAATAGTGTTACTTACTTCGATTTCAGCGAGGCGGGGTGGCAGATCGGCATCGGACTCATCGCCGTGCTTTGTCCAGCAGTGCTTGATGACCTTGAGAATTGAGACCTTTTTCTTCTCAGGCCCCGACTACAGTTTGGAAAAAAGGCTTAAGATCCATAATTAATTGTTAAAATAAAGGGTTGTAATTGTGTAAGGTTTTTTGAAAAATACTTACAAGATCTTCTTTATGTCTACTCTGAGGTTTGCGGCCCCCATGCCATTGGGTTTCTAAAGCCTTCTCGGACATCCGGTTTTTCTTACCGGATTGACTTCTTGCCAAGAAGTTTGGATCAGAAGACCAGTGACGGACGAGGTTATCCCACACCTCATCCGAACACCATCCAGGCTTTACCCCGCTCTTTCGGGCACGCTTAAAAGTAGGACGAAGCCAGTTTGAAATCCTAGCGTTATACGCTCTAAGAATAGCGGGACCTTGGGCTTCAGTCCATCGAAACCGACCCTTTATAAAAAACAAATAAATTAATTTATCTTTTATCAAATGTTACGTTAATACAATTACGCAGAGAAAATTCATTTTTTTTACCTTGAAAAGGTTCCACCAAAGTTCACGAACCTTGGGGTCAACTTCCGTGTATGTTGCCCAGTTCCCAAGAAAGTGTCCTCCGATTATTAGTTTGATTTGGTCCAACACTTCTTGATCGCTTCAGAAAATTAATATTATTTATTTATAAAAGTTTTGATAACATTATGATACATTGAAAAAATTATTTCACGTTAGATAAAATTCATAGTTACTTACTTCGCAACCATGTGGGGCGTCACCCAAAGCGCATTTTCATTGTTGCGCTCAGCTTCGGTTAAGGGCACATAGTTTGGGCGGGGACGCGAGGTTGATTGTTCATTGCTCATCTAAAATATATTAATTTATATTTTTAAATGTTAGTGTAGTTATAATAAACGTGTATAACATATTAAACTGTGTATAAGTCTAATATGAGAAGTCGATATTTTTTCAATTAATTTTTTTATAACTTTGATACAATACATTTTCAATTGATTGGTCTTTAAGGTAACATATTAAACTGTGTATAAGTCAAATATTGTATAAGTCTAATATGAGGGGTCGATATATTTTCAATTAATTTTTTTATGACTTTGATACAATACATTTTTGTATTGATTAGCCTTTAAGGTAAAATGTTAAACTTTTGCAAGTTTACATGAGGGGACATATATACTTTATATAAGGAAATTATAAAAATCAATTTAATACAGTAAAAAATAGTTCGACTTATCAAAAACAGTTTTATCTAAAAAAAAGTTATCTAAAAACAGTTTTTTTTTTAGATCTAATAACAGTTTTATAAAAAAACAGTTTTGTAAAAACAGTTTTATAAACCGTTTTACAAAAAATTGTTTTATAAAACAGTTTTATATAAAAACAAATTTGTATAAACTGTTTTATACACGGTTTTATTTATAAAAAGTTTTATAAAAAACAGTTTTATAAATTATACAAACTGTTTTATAAATACAGTATAATATTTAAAATACCATTGTTATATTTTTTATGTCAATTTTAATAAAAAAAATATTTATTAGTACACCTCATTTTTAGTAAACTTCATAAAACCGGTTAATTAAACTGCTTATTAATCACTTTTTATTAAAATCTGTTTTAATTAAACTGTTTTTTATTAAATTGGTTTTTATCAAACTGTTTTTTATTTAATTGATTTTTATCAAACTGTTATTTTTATTAAACTGTTTTTTATAGAACAGTTTTTTATTAAACTGTTTAATACAAAAACAATATATTATTAAACTTTTTTTAAAATCTATATTTTACAATTTATTTCGGAAAACAGTTTTTAATGTCTAAATAATTATTTTATAGTTAACATGTCAAATTTTTTTGGAAGTTTGACATGAGGGGGTATTTTTCAAATAATTCGGAAATAATAAATTTGATTAATGATAAAATAATAATAATCCTAACAATGTCTAAATAATTCATGCATAAGTCCGAAATTAAATCATGTTTAACCTAAAATCAAATAATATTTAGGCATGCATATTAAACTTGTACAAAAAAAATAAAATTGAATCAAACTATATCTAAAGCATGTGTATTACAAATCAAACAAAAAAGAAAAAATATATTTTATCATCTTTGAGCATGCAAATTAATATTGTAATTCGAAATTAAAACAAAACTAATAAAAGGAAGAGATTAATATTGAGCATGCAAATTAATATTGTAATGTGAAATTAATATTGTAATCCGAACATAATAATAACATGCATTTGTGTGTATAAACGTAACAACATATACACATATAATCATATTAAATTAAATGTATATACACATAAATATGTAGTTGTAGAATAAATCATTAGGGCATTCAATGTTCAATAATGGATAGGAGCATATAAACATGCATTTGAGTACATAAACATGCATTTGTGAGTAAAAAATTAATTGAGAAAACATAACCTTGATGTGGAGAGAGGTGCGAAAAAAGAGGAGTGGTGGACGACGGCAGCGGACGGCGGCAACCAGCGGCGGACAACGGCAGTGCACGGAGGACAGCGGCGGCGCTGGACTCTGGACGGCGGCGGCGGCGGGGTCCGTGGAAGAGTCGACGAGAGAGTAAGTAGGGAGGTGAAGAGAGAGTATTAGGGTTGGAGACGTGGAATGAAAAAATTCGCTAAGTGTTGATTTTATATATCGGTGTAGTCACGGTCTTAGTCACGGATATATCCGTGACTAAACCCTTCGTAATCAACGAAATCAGCCACGCGGCATCAGCCGCCTTTGACCGATTTAGTCACGGTCTTATCCGTGACTAAGACCGTGTCTAATTCAAATTTTGAATTTAGTCACGGTGCTAGTCACGGTTAAAACCGTGACTAAACCGGCGGCCCTGACACTTCTCCGGCTGCCAGACTGACATGTTAGTCACGGAATTATCCGTGACTAAGACCGTGACAACGTGAAATTTTTTAGTATAAATCATCTTTCTCCGGCCATAGACAGAACTGTAAAAAAAATGGCTAATAGAGGTCCAATTGACTGGGATTCGATGTGTAGAGATATGAAACGACTTAAGCTGATTACAGAGCTTATGGAGCCGAAAACCGTGGAAGCATACGAGAGAATCAAGGAGTTGATGTCTAGACCCCTTGAAAGTTTTGGCGATTATAAAGATGAAGAATCCGACTCGTTGGGCAAGTCAAAAGCAAGAAATTTGTGTCGGATGCTTCAACGTGCACAAGAAGTTTCAGAGTATATGGACCCGATCAACGAAGAAGCTCGAATGAAAATTCAGGAGTTGTGGGCTAGGCCTCTTGAAAGTTTCCGATTGAGGAATGAATAATGTTAGTTAGGTTAATGTGATAAATAAATCTATGTTAGTTGTTTGATAAATAATATGTGATAATTTCATTGTGTGTTTTGTATTTATCTTTGAAATTTGATAAATAAATCTCTGTTAGTTGTTTATTAATATCTAAATTTATTATAATATTCAGATTAGTAAAAGTAAATTACTTTTTTTTTATTTTCGAATTTTGTTAATTTTCGAATAGACTTAGAATTATTAAAATTAATTTTTGAATTTCGAATTATTAAAAATTATTAAAATAAATTTTCGAATTTAGAAAAATCAAAAATAATATTTGAATTTTCGAATTTGAAAATAAAAGAATATAATATAGAGTAATTTCATATTTTGTATTGGGTAAATTTTATTTTGAATTTATAATATGGATATAAAAAACTTGTTGTGGTTGAATTAATATGGAGTAATTTTTTGTTCATAAATAATAATGATAAAGATAGAAAAAAATTCAAATATTGTTGGAGTAATATAATGATGAAGAAATCTGCACAAATATTAGAAGTCAATAAAATTGAAATTACAACAGCACAATTATTCGCTATCAGAATCGTCATTTTCTACATATACAGTATCTTCTTCTGTATCTGAACCGTCTATCCATTCACCTTCTTCCTGATATTGAGCGTTTTGTTGTGCTACATACATTTCCTCAATTTCGCGCTCAGATGGAATGGTTGGGTCCGGAAGGTGCGTTTCTGGCATGACTTCAACACGTCCGCCATTTGGATCACTTAATTGGATGTCATAGTTGACCGTCTCAACAATAGGCGGAGGTTGGAAAAATTGTTGCTGAAAAGCATCTAGATCAACGTCCTTGTGTTGAGTTTGTGATTTTATTTTGTTCGGACGGACAGGACATGCACACACCCAAGGATTCTGTGTCCGCCTTGTTGAAGGATATTCTGCATAATAAATCTGCGCTGCTTGTTGGGCGAGTATGAAAGGCTCATTTTTCGGGTACACACGAGACTGGTTGACGTCAATCATATTATACTTCGGATTTTTGCGCACGCCACGTGTGGGGTCGACCCATGTGCAACGGAACAGAACGCATGTCAATTTTTTCGCACCAGAAGGCATCTCAAGTTCCAGAATCTCCTGCAGGACACCAAAAAAATTGGTTTCCGAGTTATCATAACCGATGGTCGGGACACATAACCCGCTGTTCGTTGTTGGTCGGCCCTCTCCGTAATCGGCTGTGTGATATGTGTAACCGTTTATCACATATTGCCGCCACACTTTGGCACTGGCACTAGGGCCCCACGCTAATGATACTAACAAAGGGTCGACAATCCCACGACTATTGATCTGTAAATATAAACATGATAATAACATTAGGTAAATATTGAAAAATCTTACTTAATAATATATATATATAATTAATGTGTGTGTATATATATACCTGATACTTGTACCAATTTACAAAATCAGAGTCTACCAATGCATCAATTTGATTCTCAGGAAAGGCTGATAAAGAAGCTCTGAATTCACTGTGAATTAAAAAACAAAAAAATTATAAATTAACTACAAATTTAATTGATAAGTATTACAATTATAACTACAAATTTAACTTACTGATAAAACGGTGAGATTTCTGGACAATTCATGAGGATATAAGTATGTGCAATTTGCAATTCCCCACCCACGATGTATCGTTGTGTCGCAGCACCTTTACCTCTGCCTGGGTAATTGAAGATGGAAACTACATTTTCATATAAATCCTCGCCAATGTCATCGTTCCGGGCAGGTCTCTTCCTTCTGGTGATGACGTCACGCTCGAAGTAAAAAGACGAGAACGTTGAGATTTCTTGTTGAAGATACGCTTGACAAATTGAAGCCTCAACGTGTGCCTTGTTGGTCACTTTCTTTTTCAGCTCTCCTAGAAATCTGCAATAATGCAATATAACAACGGTACACATGTTAACAGTTATTGTGAAATAAATATTCTTTTTTTAAATGAAATTGTTACTAACCTTTCAAATTTGTACATCCAGCGATAGAAGACGGGCCCAGCAGTCAAAGCCTCATACGGAAGATGTATTATAAGATGTTCCATTGTATCGAAAAACGATGGAGGCATTATTTTTTCTAGATTACACATCAGAATGGGAACAGAATCTTGTAGTCTTCGGAGGGATGCCGCATCCAAAACGCTGGAACATATCGATTGAAACAACAAACTGATTTCAGTAATGCAGGACCATACGTGTTCAGGAAGCATCTCTTTTAGTGCAATTGGTAGAAGTCTTTGCATTATTACATGAGCATCGTGAGTTTTCATGCTCGTCGTCGTGGTAAGTTTGTTCATGTCTACGCATCTAGACAAGTTGGAGCAGTAGCCATCTGGAAACTTCTGAGACGCAAGCCATTGTAATATTGCTGCCTTTTGTGGTTCTGTGACCTGGTAGACTGCTTTTGGAACTTCCTTGCCCTGATATTCTAGATCAACAGAAAGTTCGGGTCTATCACACCAAATAGTCATATCTTTCCTAGCTGCAAGACCGTCTTTAGTTTTGCCTTTCAAATCCATCACTGTGTTAAATATATTGTCAAAGACGTTCTTCTCAGTGTGCATGACATCTAAATTGTGACGGATGAGAAGGTCTTTCCAATAAGGCAACTCCCAGAATATGCTCCTCTTTGTCCACTTATGGGTATCACAATACCCATATGGCTCTTGGTTTGGCTCTTCCATAGCCGTAGGAAAACGTCGAACCCGGTTATAAATTTCTTCACCGGTCAATCTCGGGGGTGGGCTCTCTCGTACCGCTCTGCCTCTAATGAAAGACTTCTTGTCCTTTCGATATCGGTGCCTTTCCGGGAGAAACTTGCGGTGACAATCAAAGTAACTTCCTTTTTTGCTGTAACTAAGCCAGTTGGCACCTGATTTCTCCATACATATCGGACATCCCATCAAACCGTGTGTGCTCCATCCCGAAAGCATGCCATAGGCAGGGAAGTCGCTAATGGTCCAAATGATGGCAGCTTTCATGATAAACATTTTATCTGATGAAACATCATAAGTTGGTGTCCCAACGGCCCACAGTTCTTTCATCTCCTCGATAAGGGGTTGGAGATAAATGTCTATCTTTCGCCCAGGATCCTTGGAACCCGGACAAATTAAAGACAAAAATATGAAATGACTTTTCATGCACATGTCGGGAGGGAGATTGTAAGGAGTTAACATGACCGGCCAACATGAATAGTTCTTGCCAAACCTGCCAAAAGGAGCAAATCCATCTGAGCACAATCCCAGCCGCACATTTCGTGGCTCCATAGCAAACTGAGGATGACAGCGGTCAAAGTGTCTCCAGGCTTCACAGTCCGAAGGGTGAGCCATCATACCCTCGTTGGTTTCGTGCTCAACATGCCATGTCATGTGTTTCGCAGTAGCAGTCGAAGCGTACATCCTCTGCAGTCGAGGAGCTATTGGGAGGTAATACAGTTTAGACAGTGCAGACCTATGTCGTGGTTTCTTTTTACCTTGACGAACAGGTTTGTATCTGTCTCCACCACAGAACTTGCAGAACTCAAGTGCCTCATCCTCCTTCCAGAACAACATACATCCTTCCGGACACGCATCAATTTCAACACAAGGTAGCCCCAACTTAGACATTAACTGCTTCATGTGGTAATATGAATCTGGAAGGGTATGATCTCGTGGTAGCATCCCTCCTACTGACTGCAAGACTCTATTCATGCAAGTTTCAGGGAGACTGTATTCGGCTTTTATGTTCATGAATTCAGTAACGGCGGATAGCTGAGAGTATCCCTCACAATCAGCATACAGAGGTTGGTCGGCAGCTTTTAGAACATCCTGAAATCTCTCAGTCAAACCTTCATCCACATAAGGTTGATAAAATGTCGGATTTTCATCCGCATCTGGTTGATACGAGGTTGAGGCTTCAGGGGGGTCGTTAGGTGGTTGTGGGGGATTGAACTGAGACATCGGTACACCGTATGCGTCATATACCATTTGTTGGTCCCACCTCATTTCAGCACGGTCTCCCCACGCACTCATCTCTGGAGGGACGTAACGAGACGAACCTACCGTTTGTGGTATAACAGATGGATCCAAAGGTTCGCCGTGAGAAGTCCAATTATAATAATTGGGAACAAAACCGACCGCGTACAAATCATACCCAACTTCGTGTGGGTCTTTAAATTTGAGATTTTTACACTTTGAACATGGACATCTTATTTTATCACCACTCATATAAGCCGGATGTTCAAGTGCAAATTCAATAAATTCCCCGACTCCCTCGAGAAAATTTGATTGCATTCCGTACAATACCGCATCTTTATCATACATCCAACTTCTATTTTGTTTATACATTATGCCTGAATATTATAATAAAAAAGTATACACGTTCAAATACTAACAATAATACTAACAAATTTTAAGTGAGTTATTTCACTAAATAATCAACTAACTAATTTTCACTAAATTAAATGAAATGCACACAATTCACAACAATAATTCACAAAATATAAGTAATTACCTAATACTTAAATTTAACTAATATTACAAAAAAATTAAGTAATTTATTAACACTACATTTAAATTAAACATACGTTTAACTAAATTTAACTAATTTATTTAGTTAAATTTAACTAAATTTAACTAGTTCATTCCGTCCTCTTTTAATGCATCACTACGTTTAAACCTACGTTTAGCTAACGAATTTTAATTAAATTATTTTTGTAAACCTACATTTAAACCTAAACTAAATTATTACGTTAATGACATTTAATGTTATTAGTACTACACAATTAACAATTCCAATTCACTAAATTAAATAATATGACCAAATTAAACCCAATAATTTGAACATGTATATAAGGTCATTTGAATTAATAAATAATACACAATTACAATAACAAGTCACAATACACTTAATTAACACATTACTAACGTACGTTTAACTAACTAATTTCAATTAACATAAAGATCACTACGTTTAAAACTACGTTTAGCTAACTAATTTTAATTAAATTATTTTATAAACCTAACAGTTTAACTAATTTTATGACATTACTACGCTTACAGTTGAATATGTTGTTAATTAATTAACAACATCACTAATTTAATAGTTTTAATAATTTAAATTGAACCAACTAATTCTGAATAAAAATAATAATTCAAATAACATACCTTAACTGCATAAATGGGGAAAATGATAGAAGACAGACTACATCCTTCGATCTTTCAAACAGATACTGTATATACTGGGAATGAATTGGTGTGGTTCTGTTGAATGAACTGCTCCTGCATATATAAAAAATTTAGTCACGGACTTAGTCACGGATTTGTCCGTCACTAAGCAATACCGTGTCCATTACGCGTCCGATCCGTGTTAATGACGTGTAAATGACGTGTAAATCAAAGTAGTCACGGACATAGTCACGGACATGGCCGTGACTAAAATTATCCGTACATAATACCGTTATGGATTGATTTATGGGAGATGCAAAATTATTTTTTAAATTTAGTCACGGCTGTAGTCACGGATGTGGCCGTGACTATGTCGCCGGAGTAAAACAAGCCAGGCCGGAAAATCAAACGGGCAATCGGAGGATGTTAGTCACGGACAAAAATCCGTGACTACGTGTAGTCACGGCACTAGTCACGGTAAAATCCGTGACTAATTTTTTTTTTAAATTTTCGTGACTAGTCCGTGACTAGTCCGTGACTAGGCTAGTCACGGACCAAATCCGTGACTACGGTCCGTGACTAAACGAGTGTTTTTTTGTAGTGATTATAATATTGAATCTAAATTTTTCAAAAAAAAAATGAATCTTAAAAAATATTGATTGAGCACGAAATAAAGATTCTTGTATCATTATATTGTTCTTATTATAATAAAATATGGCGATCTACGTGTGAATTGTAGTTGGGCAATTGTAAGGGATAAAGAAGTTGCAAAGAAGATGACAAAATTCATAGAGGTGAGCACAATTGGGGTATCTAAAGACTCCCAACTGAGAGCAGCTAAGATCCTTGGAGTTGTCTCAGATAGCTGCTTTAGTGGTGATGACTTCTTTGCTTATAGCCGAAATATGTTGAAGGAGAGATGGCAAAGGTTAAGACAAGTTGTGAAGGGTAGTGATCTATTCCATGTCCAAAAATACCCCATTTTATACTGCCATTTTTCCAAAGCCATGATTGAGACACTTCCAGGTATATTATTAAAAGCAAATTGCTAGTTCATAACAATTGTGGTTTTGGGTTCGTATTTGCGATGGAGTCAAAATCTCATTGTGTTTTTCTTTGGGAGTATGATGAAATAAAGAAAAATGATTCGGCAAAATGACTCACTAAACTGTCTGTGCTTCTTTATTTTGAAGCAACGGTCAGTCCATGTAGTTTGTGACGCGATTTTCATTATGGGTCATTCGGAAACAGTCTCGTTGTGTTTTAGTAAGGAGTAAGGTTGCGTACATCCGACCTCCCATTACCCTATCGTAGGTGGGAGCTTTTGCGATAGTGGGATAATGATGATGGTGATGAATATATGCCCGCATCATATATGATTTATGTTAGAACTATAGTAAGCTAAAGTCCCGGAATATTGAGAGTGATTATCACACATAATTTATCCACCATTTATTTCTTATTTAAATAAAATAGAAAAGCGGAGCATGTTTTGATTTTAGATTATTTTGCAAACAGCTTTTGCATGGATGAAGACAATCAAGGGAGAGGTGGATTGTGTGGATCTGCTGAAGGATCACAAGATTCTTGCGAGAATTGGAACCAAATTCGGTGTTGAAAGCAATTTTGCAAGGATAAGTATGGTGTCCAAGGATGAGGACTTTAACACTTTTTTACGAAAGCTATCAATCATCCAAGGAAGAGATGATCCTACCGATGATGAAAATCACACTCAATCTTAAGGTTTTGAATGATGAATTTGGAGGAAGATGGAAGAGAGGACTGAATCTATTAGAAATAATGTCGTACAATGTTTTTCAATTGTGGTGACTTTTTGAAATTAATTTTAAGCCAATACAAACAAATCATTTAATTTAGTCCATGGCATGTCGTGAGCTTTTCTTAAAATATTTTTGAAATAAGACTTGTGAACAAAATTGAGTAAAGTAATTGAATATTTTTTAGGGAAAAGGTGCAAATAGACCCATGTACTAACCAAAAAAGGTCAAATAAACCCTTATTTAGGAGGCTCTGCCCGGCCGTCGTCATTTGGAGTGGTTCCCGGGGGAATTTTTTTATGAAATTTTTTGAGCATCTTATTCATCAAGTCTAACTTACTCATACCAAATTTAAGCTAAAACTTCAATCGGGAAGGCATTCAAATGAATTCTTGAAGATAACTGTTGGAAAAATGTGTGAAAAATTGCATTAAATGGCTATTTTGGGGCAATTTTTTGAGTGGGGTCCACTTCTGATTTGGGTCGGGTCAAAGTGGTTTCGGATTGTCCTTGTTAAGGGCTAAGGTGCTTGTACCAACACCTAAGAAAATAAAAATAGGTCCAAAAACGGTGGATTGTATTTTTATTGGATATGC